CCGTGGACCGCCTACGAGAAGATATGGAATGAGCATATGGTAACTTTATATTACTTTAGCTATTCGTTTATTATTGATTAGTAATTGATATTAAATTATCCTAATTGAATATGTACACAAATTTTCTAGGAAAGCTTTTGCCTTGAGGACTTTGATGGGGCTTGGCATTATGTTTTTAATATCAAGGTTGAAGTTGTCCTCAAACAATGGAGGCATCAGATTAAGCAAGAAATCTATGATAGGTATTCGGAGGACTGGTAGAGATTTTTAAACCTCGATGATAGGGTTGACGAGCTTTATTTCACAGCTCTCCTCATGTATTGAGACACCGTTGCCACACATGTTATTTTCATGAAAACTATATTGTTTACATGATATATTCTTTAATTGTATATTTACTAAAATATATTTTTTAAAGAATAAATCAACGAAGGGATCAATGAATAGAAGGAAGAAGATGCATGAACACCACTTGGGCGCACACTCTTATGCCAACCTAGAGGATGATTATTGTCGAGATACGGTATATATCATTTAAATCTTTAAATGATCTTAATGCTTAGTATGACTGTAAAATCTCATAAATTTATAATCTGACAAGAAAAATCAATAATACCGATAAACTTGAAGGCATAGTTGCCATATGGTACCTTATGTGATCGATATAGGGATGAGGATAAGAATCAGGAAAAGATAAAGGCAAATCTCGAGTTGGTGGTGAGACTTATATATAACTTAATTAGTATTATAAACTCTATTTCATTCTTAATTTTACGAAAAAATGAGAACACGAATAATATGTGGATTGTGAAGATTTTGTGATTTAAGAGATTATAAGCTACATATATGTACCTACTATTAAGTACTGGAATCAGTATGTATGAACCCTGAGCATGAGCGCAATCTCATCAATTTTTACACTTCAAAAATAAGTATATCATCTTTCTTGGGAAAGTTATTATTTACAGAGGAATGTATAACATGTGAATTATCTAACACATTGACCTAGTAGTAAACACATTTGCAAGTAAGTCAATTTGGTATTTACCTTGAATAATCAATAAATTAAAGTTGCAACCAATTTGATATTTGTAAACTTATATTTGTGCTTTAGGAGGGTTTTAAAACTGCAACCAAGGAGGCTGCAACACTGCACATGTCTCAGGAGGAAGTACAAGGCGAGCCGTACCCTCGCATGCTATCTCCAGAGGATAACATCACTCTCACTCAGAACCTATTGGGACATAATAGGTAGGGATTGTAAACAATCGAATTGATTCGAATACTTTGCTCCTATTTATATATGTTTAAAATTATTGAATTCGAATGTAAAATCTAATATTCATTTCCACCCTAATAATAGGAGAGGAATATATCCTCTGCATGGTGTTGGAGCTTCACTGGGCGTAAGCATAAGATCATCTACAACATCCTCTATGTCATCTACAAGAATAAGAGCAGCACCAGGTAGTTTGCAAGCTATGCCACTTGTTTTATGTGTCTCCACCTATTTGTGTGACAAGATTGACCCAGACCTACACATTCAAGTGACTAAGGAGATGAGCAGAGTTGTATTGAGGGCCCACACGATGGACGATGTCATGTCCTACATTGTAGATTGTTTGGCCAGTGTGATTCCCTCTAGTCTGTTTGGTGGTATCATATGACTCATAAACTCGGGTGTCGATAATTCTGACGTTGGGCAGAGCAGCGCACATGTATCTTATTTTCCCTCAGATTTATAAATCATTTATGTTTAATATGTTATCAAACTTCACATAATCCTGAAATTATTTGTTTAATATGTTTAATAACACAGAGGAGCGCACTAGTATATTTAAAAATGCTCTATGTTTAATATGTTATCAAACTTCATATAATTCTAAATTATTATTTAATTGGACCTTCAGACTAGAGATATTGGAGCGAACAACACCCGTTTTCGTACAATGAATAGAGATGCTATCGATGACGATGAGATGTGAGGTTTATTTATTTTTTTTAATGCAATGAATAATTTTTTATTTGTAATAGTATTCTGCTTTTATTCATGTCATGTACTCTATGTTATTCATCTCGTGTTATGGATGGACTTGGTATTGCTAGTGTATATGTTGTAAATATTCAGATAATCTAAGTTTTTACTGAAGTTGATATTGACGTAGATTGTTGGATGTATATATTAGATTGGATTGTTGGATGTGTATTTTGGATTGGATGGTTGGATGTGTATATTGGATATGAATATTGATTTTATTTGATTGGATGTATTCATGTGTACATCGTGAATGTAAATAAATGTACAAGGAATCAACGTTTCAAAAAAATTTGCCAGAAAAATAACAACCTAGACGGAATTTTCGTCTAGGTTGAGTCAAACTAGAGGAATTTCCATATAGGTTGCTAACCTAGACGGAATTTCCATCTAGGTTGCTAACTAGACGGAATTTAAAGTTCGTCTAGGTTGTTTTCCGTCTAGTTTGATCAACCTAAACGGAATTCTGTCTAATTTAACTCAAACTAGACGGAATTATCCTAGACGAACTTTTCTAGACGGATTTCCGTCTAGATTGATCAACCTAGACGGAATTCTAAGCAACCTAGATGAAATTCTAGGGTACAATCTGGTGACTGGTCATCTTGTTTCTTTTTGTATGGTGGAGGGATAACTTTTTGTGCAGTTAGGGGTTATATTTTGCACAGTGCAGGTTAACATTTTGTGCAGTTGGCGGATATATTTTGGGCAGTTGAGGGGTCTAAATATTTTGTGAACACTCAGGTTAACAGTCACTTTGGCTTAATGATGTGTAATCACATACATTTCTCTTACTTGTAGGTTGGTGGGTGTACGGATTGGTAGTTGGTGTATGCTTTTACGTCATGATGTGAGATATTCACATACATTGCTCTTATTTATACGGCATAGTAGTTTTAAATTTGTCACTGTTTCAAATTGTCTTATGCTTGGATGTCTTAGTGTTAAAGCAGTTTGTTTCACTACGTTAATTGATTCATTGATTCTAATATTGTTCTTCACAGATATGCATGATACTTAATTTGGAACATTATTTATTGATGCCCTTTTTTATGGTTGAGACGATACCCAACACATTCTATACTGTAACTGTATGATTTTCTTTTCCTTTTTACACTTTAAGCAATTATGATTGGTCGATATATTTAGATAAGCAGCCTACTTTAGTACTACTATATTCGCAAGGCTATCTATGATGGCGCTGAAACTTCGATAAACCATCATTTTGTATGAAGTGCAGAGCTTAGCATCCTATTGGTAGTACTAATGTTTAGGTTAGGCTTTTTATGGTTTAAGAGACCCATATCTGAGCAAATTTTCAGATTAAAGTATTAAACTTTCATATTTGTGACTATTATCATTTTTTATGTTTTCAAGCTTCTTTTCATGTTGTGAGTAAATCACATACTGATTCCTTATTTCTCAAATTATAGTGAATTGTGAACGATGCTTAAGATTTTCAATTTTTTTATTGAGATTGGATATGATTTATTTGGATTAATACACTGTAAACTATGGCCGTAATTTTATACACACCGATACAGAATATCCACATTTTAAATGATATATGACTTCTATTTTGTATTAGATTTTCAATTGCCTATGCGGTTGTTTTCATGGAAGTTGTTGGATTCATACGATATACTAGAAGTGGGTGTACATTGATTAAAGTTATGGGATCATACTTTATATTAGAAGCAGTGTACGCCATAACATAATATCCACATTTTTTTAATTGTATCAGTTTCCTCTTGTGAAATGAGTGGCACTAGGGGCACACCCCTAACCACAACTCCAACCACATCTTCTCTCTCATTTGCTACAGTATACCGGGCCTCACATGTAATTTTAAAAATTTAAAATCACATGTGGAGCCCAGTGCACTGTAACAAATGAGAGAGAGTGTGTGGTTAGAGTTATGGTTGGGGGTGTGCCCCTATCATTTTCCTTGTGAAATTGCCTCATAATGAATTTCCATGGAGAATAGCTATGTTTAGGACTACCAAACACAAACAAGATTCCGAATCACACCCTCACCCACAGGTCCTCACTTTCAACTAAACAGTTTATTATTGTCACCAGCCACAT